GGCCCTTTAAGCCAACACGGTAAGAACCCTTCTAGGCAGAGCCTAGGTAGGGAATATGCTACACATAATCAGACACATCGGGTTCCGATGACCATGGCGCGAAGGCCTGTGACACCTGGCAAAATGCGTATAATCACGCAAGCACCTGGACCCGCTCCGCAAGCAAAGCCTCCATCCGAAGTCAAGTGTGCCACTGCGCTGTTCAAGCGTCCTGTCGAACCCAGCGATGCGCAAGTCGCAGTGTGATCGACAATTCGGCACGGTCAGATGCCAAAGTATCCAGTCCGACGCGGCGTGAAAGGAATCGGTACAATAATGTCGGGTTCGCCCCAAATATAATGGCAGCTGGCCGCATCTCCAACGGGACCTTGGTCGAAGGTTTTAGCCTGACCATCTCGCGCCACCTCGGGAAGACCCAGGTTGGCGCAGGCGCCATGTGTAAAATAATCTCTTGCACTCATGCTCCCCCCGCGACTGAGAGAGCTGCTGAACAAGTGTCTCCATGCTGCCATGCTGGGCCCCATGTTAGAACTAACACGGCGTGTTGGCTCCCTTGCTTGCCGCAGTGAGAATGCGCTGAAGCACCCATCTGACTGAGGGGCCGGGCCAAGCCATGCGCCGAGCCACACTTCACGGCCCGAGTGCGCGGCGCCCCCTTCGTCTCCCCTGCCCGCCGCCCAACTCAAATCTCGGGGGGCTGCACCGACTGCCTCCCTCGCCCACTTCGCCCCGCTCTCTGCCACGATCGCTTCAGACTCAGGCACAAAAACATGTCAGAGCAGACGCCTGCTTTCCGAATGCCGCGCCTTGTACAGCCCACCCGCATGAGAAGGACGCGCGATCGACCCTGTGCGAGCGGAGCGCGGCCAGCGACAGCGGCCAAGGATGGGCCGACGGGGAAGGTTGCGAGGGCAGCCTTGAAGAGCCGCTCATCCTAAAGGGAAAGTAGGACACACAAATAAATACACACAAATAAAAATAGTCCCCATATTTTCCCATATTTTCTGGATTTTTGTCTCCCCCCCCACTGCCTATATTTTCCCATATTTTCTGGGGAATCGAGGATTAATTGTGTCTGTGTGTTTTTTCCCCTCCTGACATCCTTCCTCTGCGGGTTGACTGCAGAGCAGCCGCCGGGCGCAGCTGCTGCCCGAGGCTCGCCAGGCGTGGCGGCCGCACGAGCCAGCGGGGCGCCTTGCCGCGGCGGCCTCTGGAGCCGCACCAGGGAGGATTGCGTGGCCCTGGCCGTCTGTGGCCCGCAGTCGATCCCGGCCCAGATGTGGACAACCACCCAGCCACCGTCCGCGGCCGCCCGCGTGGCCCCCGCCCTCCCTCGCGCCGCTCGCGCTGCACCGCCCCGACGGCAGGCCTTGGACCGCGCGGCGCGCGATCGCCAGCGCCGCTCGCCAGCGCCGCGCCCAAGAGACGGAAGCGACCATCGACAGCCTCCTGGTGGCGCGCCTCTCTGGGCCTCCAGAGGCCGCCCTGGAGGACCTCCAGTAACCCCTTCCGGCCGCGCCGCAGAGAGGAGGAGGAAGAGGAGGAGGAGGAGCAGGATGATGATGATGATGATGATGATGATGATGATGATGATGATGATGATGATGATGATGATGATGGTGATGATGATGATGATGATGATGATGGTGATGATGATGGTCATGTTGATGATGATGATGATGATGATGATGATGATGATGATGATGATGATGATGATGATGATGATGATGATGATGATGATGATGATGATGATGATGATGGTGCTGATGGTGCTGATGATGATGCTGATGCTGATGATGATGCTGATGATGATGATGATGATGATGATGATGATGATGATGATGATGATGATGATGCTGATGAGGCGGAGGAGGAGGGGAGGGAGGGAGGGAGGGAGGGAGGGAGGGAGGGAGGGAGGGAGGGAGGGAGGGAGGGAGGAGTAGGATGAGGAGGATGGATGGATGGGCCATCAGCAGAGAGGCCCTGGCGACCGTCTGCACGCAGACGACCGCCCGGGTCCCAAATGTCAATCGGCTCCCGCGACGCCGCCAGCACGCCGCTCGGACGCCGAGGCGACGAGGAAAGGGCCCCGAAGAAGCCCAGACAGGCATCCAGAGGGCAAGCCAGGGGGAACGGAAGCCACCCTCGCGGGGACGGACGGGCCACCAGACGGACCCCAAGGGCCGCCCCCGGGAGGGGACACGGGCACACGCGCCAGCACGATCCCGAGACCGCGGCGCACACCCCCGAACACGCCGAGAGGGCCGCCAGCCAGGAATTCGAGGCAGATCCAGCGAGAGGCCAGCCACTCAGGGGCCGCCGACCCCGCCATCCACCGGGAAGAGGTACACGCCCTTCAGAGAGTAGGCCTTCTGGAAGCGGGCGCCCCCCATGAAGTCGTGCACGGAATCGAGGGCAACGCCCTCGGCCTCGCTATGGAGGACGACGTCCTCCAGGCTCACGCCGTCGTCGGGGTGCCCGATCGTCGGCTCGCCGTTCGCACGCTCCGAGACGCTCATCACGCGGCTGCGCGCTAACAGCTTGGAGAAGAGCCGATCGACGACGCAGCGGCTCGGGCTGGAGAAGACCCTGTTGTCCGCAACCACGGCCGCCCTGGGCCCCGAGCTCGGCGGGCTCCTCGGTGGTGTCCGCCTGGCCCAGCTCGGCGGGCTCCAGTGGTGTCCGCCTGGACCAGCTGGGCGGGCTCCTCGATAGTTTACGCCTGGACCAGCTCGGCGGGCTCCTCGGAGGTGTCCGGCTGGACCAGCTCGGCAGGTTCCTCGGTTGCGTCCCCCTGGAGGAGCTCGGCTGGCTCCTAGGCGGTGAGCACCTGGAACAGCTCGGCGGGCACCGCGCCGGCACGGCCTCAGGGGGCCCGACGACGGTGATCCCGCTCCGAGCTCGCCTCGACAACGGGGCAATCGCCAACGACGTCCAGCGCGGCAGCGGTGCCCCGCGCGGCAGCAGCGTCGACATCCGCGGGGCAGCGATCCCACGCAGGGGCCCCAAGGCCCGCAAAGCCGCCGACGCCCAGCTCCTGCAGCAGCGCGTCGGCCTTCACAGAACAGGCGGGCGTGAAGGGGGTGGCCTCGCCCCTGAGCGGCGTCGCATCGCCTGTCCGCAGGCGCTTGAGCGCTCGGGCGTCGCAGCCCCCGTGCGTGGAGGCGCGAGGCGGGCCGCACACCGCGCCAGGCGGAGGCGCGTGCCTGGCCCCATTCCCCTCCGGCAGAGCTGCCTCGCACCGCGCGATGGTGTCGGGCGGCAGCCGAAGCAGCCTGGCGGCCTGCAGCGCCTCGCCCATGCTGGGCAGGTGCGCCCCGAGGCTGTCCCACAGCCGCCAGTGCTCGCGAGGGGAGGCGCGAAAGGCCTTCTTTAGGGGGAAACAAACATACCTCGCTTTTGACCACCCTCGCTTCCAAGCGATACCAAACGATCCCAAATTGCAGCCTGCACTGGTCAGGCCGCTTGACGAGGAGGCGCGTGGTATGGCTTGGTTTTGCCTGGAAGCGAAAGCGAGGTAGGTAATTCACGCACTTCTCGCGCACCACCAGCGCAGCCGCCCGCGACGGCCCCCCATCACGGCGAGCCTCGCGCCGCAACCTGCGGGCGAGGGTGCAGGCGCCCAGCGTCTGCCGCCGGCCGCGCCACCCGCCGACACCGTGGCCTCTGGCGCGCGCCACGCGCCTGCGCGGCGCGCGCTGCGAGGGCCTCCCGGAGCGCGGCTCACTTGAGCCAAAAATGGCTACGGAGCGAGGATGGGGCGGAGGAGGAGGAGGAGGAGGAGGAGGAGGAGCAGGAGGAGGAGGAAGCAGAGGCAGAGGAGGACCAGAGCAAACCCAGCATGCAGCGGGCTCGTGCCGTGACGACTTGCGCGCCGGTCACTGACCCCGCGTGGATCAGTCGATCTCTAACGACCGGCTTTCCGCCGGTGCAGGTCGTTCGGAATCGGGCGGTTCCGGGCCACTGGCGGTGCTCAAAACTTGAACGCCCGCGCAGGGGCCGCCGCCGCGTCGACACGACACGAGTCTACAATACTGGTCCTGCCATGCGGTGGCGGCCAGTCCACAAGAAACCTTCCACAAGAAACCCAACCTTGAGACCCCAGGACGTCCATAGATTTGTGGTGTGGGGACGCCACACTTTCCGTTGCAGAACCATCGCAACCTAAGAAACCCAGGGCACCCAGGAGGCAAGCAAGGTGTTTCTTGGAATGGGCCGCCACTGTACACCATGCCGTCCCAAGTCCCCTCTTCCGTCCACTGCGGCGAGCCTCCGCTGGTAAAGCGACGGCCCCATGGAACCGCAGTGGTGTCTTGAAGACGCGCGTCAGTGATCACACACATATGTGTGTATATATATATATATATATATATTCGGCCGCATTTAGTCACACAAAATAGACAGTGACATTGAGAGCAATGCCGAGATCCGACGCCCTGAAAAATAAGAACTGCGTGAAACGTTGAGACCGAAATTCTCGACCCCCATCGTCGTTGACGGGGAGCGTCTGGGGGGACCGGCTCGTGGAGCCAGAGCATCCGCCTGGAACCGCCGACACGTCGCCGATAGATCGGCGATAGGCCTCCGATGGTCTGCACATTCCCGGGAGGGGTGGGCTATCAGGTCGATGCACTCCCTCTCTGAGCCTATCTCCCACCAATGTTGCCCTCGATGTGTGCAGGACTTTTTCCCGACTAACCGAAAAATACTTCAGCATGGGGCCCGAAACGGCGCGAAAACGCCTGCCGTGGTTTTGTTCGCGACGACGGGATCGCAGGGTCCCCAATGTACTGCGGTCACCATTGAAGCACCTCTCCCTGGGGTAGCGCCTTGACGCCGGGCTCCAGACCTTCAGAATCGGCTTTTGGACCTCGGAGCGCGTTCTGACTAGGATTCTGAGGCAGATCCAGCCGTGGCGACGAGTCGACGAGGGGACACTCAGAAGGTCCAGAAGAGAACGAGAAGGAGGAGGAGGGCCACGACAACGACGACGAGGAGACCTCTCCCTGGCGCATCGTCTTGATGCCGAGCTCGAGCCCCTCGATGATCTCCCTCGGCCGCTCTTCCAAGACGAACTCCAGCGGCTGCCTCTGCGACGACCGCGACGACGGTCTGTCCCAAGGCGCAGCCTGTCAAAAATTCCGAGGCAACTCCAGCAGTGGCGACGAGGTCGCCCCAGGCGGCTTACAGCGGCCCGACGACGTGAAAAACACTCGATCTTCGAACCGATCCTCGACCCTCGTAGTAACAAGAATCCTGGGACGACGACGACGACGACGACGACGACGGCGAAGACTCTGGCGGTGACGGCGTCGGCGTCGGCGGTGGCGCGAAGAACCCCCGCGGCCGCCTGTCGCGAGACTCCCCGGACTCCGAATGCGTCTCGCGCCCCCTGGTCGAGCCGACGAGGGTGCCGTCCTGCGCGAGCCGTCGCCGTCGGCGTCGACAGCGGCGCCGGCGTCGGAGTCGTCGTCGTCGGCGTCGTCGGCGTCGTCGTCATTGTCCTTGTCCTCGTCGGCGGCGGCGGCGTCAGCGTCAGCGTCGGCGTCGGCGTCGGCGTCGGCGACGACATTGGCATCGGCGTCGGCGTCGGCGTCGGCGTCGGCCTCGGCGTCGGCGGCGTCTGCGTCGGCATCGGAGTCGGCGTCGGCCTCGGCGTTGTTGGCGTTGACATCGGCGTCGGCGTCGGCGTCGGCGTCGGCGTCGGCAGCGGCGTCGGCATCGGCATCGGCGTCGGCATCGGCATCGGCGTCAGCGTCGGCGTCGGCGTCGGCGTCGGCGACGAGATCGGCATCGGCGTCGGCGTCGGAGTCAGCGTCAACGTCAGCGTCGGCGTCGGCGTCGTCGTCGGCGTCGGCGTCGGCGTCGTCGTCCTTGTCCTCGTCGGCGGCAGCGGCGTCAGCGTCGGCGACGGCGTCGGCGTCGGCGTCGCGTCGGAGTCGGCCTCGGCCTCGGCCTCGGCGGCGTCGGCGTCGGCGTCGGCGTCGGGTCATCGGCGTCGTCGTCCTTGTCCTCGTCGGCGGCAGCGGCGTCAGCGTCGGCGACGGCGTCGACGTCGGCGTCGGCGTCGGGATCGGCATCGGCGTCGGCGTCGGCGTTTTCGTCGGCGACGGCGTCGGAGTCAGCCTCGCCTCGGCCTCGGCGGCGGCGTCGGCGTCGGCATCGGCGTCGGCGCGGCACGTCGGCAGGCGTCGTCAGCGTCGTCGGCGCGGTCGGCCGGCGTCGCGTCGGCGTCGGCGTCGGCGTCGGCGTCGGCGTCATCGTCGGGCGTCGGCGTCGGAGTCGGCGCCTCGGCCTCGGCGGGCGTCGGCGTCGGCGTCGGCGTCGGGATCGGCATCGGCGTCGGCGTCGGCGTCGGCGTCGGCTTCGTCGGCGTCGGCGTCTGAGCTCGGCCTCGGCCTCGGCGGCGTCGGCGTCGGCGTCGGCATCGGCGTCGGCGTCGGCGTCGCGCGTCGGCGTCGGCGTCGGTCGGCGTCGTCGGCGGCGTCGCATCGGCATCGGCGTCGGCATCGGCATCGGCGTCGGCATTGGCGTCGTCGACAGCGTCGGCGTCGGCGTCGGCGTCGGCGTCGGCGTCGGAGTCGTCGGCGTCGGCGTTGGTGTCGTCGTCGTCGTCGTCGCCGTCGTCATTGTCCTCGTCGGCATCGGCGGCGTCGGCGTCGGCGTCGGCATCGGCGTCGGCGTCGGCGTCAGCGTCGGCGTCGGCGTCGTCGTCGTCATCGGCGTCAGCGTCTGCGTCGGCGTCGGCGTCGGCGTCGGAGTCGTCGGCGTCGGCGTCGGCGTTGGTGTTGTCGTCGTCGTCGTCGTCGTCGTCGTCGTCGTCGTCGTCGCCGTCGTCATTGTCCTCGTCGGCATCGGCGGCGGCGTCGGCGTCGGCGTGGCGTCGTCGTCGGCGTCGGCGTCGGCGTCGGCGTCGGCGTCGGTGTCGGCCTCGGCTTCGGCGTCGTCGTCGGCGTCGGCGCCGGCGCCGTCCTTGTGCTTGTCCTCGTCGGCGTCGGCGTCGTTGGCGTTGGCGTCAGCGTCGACGTCGGCGTCGGCGTCGCCGTCGGCGTTGGCGTCGGAGTTGGCCTCGGCCTCGGCGTTGGCGGCGTCGGCGTCGGCCTCGGCCTCGGCGTCTGCGTCTGCGTCGGCGTCGGCGTCGGCGGCGTTTGCGTCGGCGTCGGCGTCGGCATCGGCGTTGTCATCGGCGACGGCGTCGGCGTCGGCGTCGTCGGCGTCGTCGGCGGCGTCGGCATCGGCATCGGCATCGGCTTCGGCGTCGGCGTCGGCGTCGGCGTCGGCGTCGGCGTCGTCGACAGCGTCGGCATCGGCGTCGGCATCGGCGTCGGCATCGTCGTCGTCGCCGTCATTGTAGCCGTCGCCGTCGCCGTCGCCGTCGCCGTCGACGGCGACGGCGGCTGGAGGCTCGAGGCTCGAGGCTCGAGGCTTGGGGGTGCTCTGGCCCTCCTTAGGACAACGCAGGCATCTGGGGGACTCCTGAGACCTCCACACGCCTGCAGA